TATATATATATATATATATATATATATATATATATATATATATATATATATATATATATATATATATATATATATATACACACACACACACATGTATGTATATATTTATAATACTTTGTACATAAATTGAAACATTGAAATATCAACATACTGAAAGGTCTAATACTGTATATACACTGTTTGCATATGTACAGACATACAGTTCTGTACAAATCCTCAAATCTGAATAGTCAGAACAGGAATTCCCAGCCACAGGTGATTAGTTTGCATACAACTTATAAACGAATACCCATGAATACTAATGCGATCATGTTGGCTGCACACAGAAAAGTTTCCTCTCTTGAGTCAGCTCTGTCCTTAATTGAACCCAACAGGGTTTAATCCTAAAAACACAGTTCGTCTTCCCTGCCCTCGATAATAAATGAAAACTGAAGTCATTAACCAATTAACCGATAGATGGGCTGTCATTCCAACCCACCTAATGATAGTTTAAAGTTATAAGGCATATTTTAAATATACTGCAGTGTCAATATGGCCTGCTGCATTTAATTAAGGGTTTGATGGATTACGACACACACTAATTATCAAAAATGTAGCTGCAGTCTGTGGCTTTATGTTCTAAATTAAGTTTTTTCTTCAAACCAAGGCTTTTTCCATTCAGTACAAGGACGTTACGTCGATCAATAAAAAAAAAATGAAATAAAAAATTCTGATGTTGTTATTCTGATATTAGTTTGTCCACAGGCAGAACCGCAGCATGTCTGTTCTCATTCGAGTGTAAAGGCCTTTGGTTGCGGTCATGGCCAAGCTGAGGTAGAGTATAATTGGCATTTTATTTCATTAACTCTAGACCGCTATTACACGGGTAAGGTTAACGGAGAAATAAGCATCTATTAGGACTGCCGCTGCCCTCTTTCCTATCCTGACCTTGAATGGCTCAATAATAATAATCGTTCTTTTGACAATGTAACTATTACAATCTTCTCTTAATGCCACAGCATTTCCCATTTTCCACCTTCCCTCGGAGGACCTGTAAAATTTGTAACCTTCACTTCCAATGATAGGCAGCAGCTCCCAGTGAACACAGAAATCGGTTCTGAAATGCAAAAAAATTAAAACACTCCATCTGCACACTGTCAGGGAAATGTTTCTATTACAGTGAAAGACGATGCAAAGCATTCATCTTTCTCTATATGTAACTCCCAGACCCATAGTATTTGTGTAGGTAATGTCAAAAAATATAAACTAATGTTAGTAAACTAATTGTGATATTTCAGTTTTCAATATATACAGTGAAAAAAAGTTTTTATACAATTTGTGAATTATTACAATAAAAAAACTGTTTTATATTTTAGTATATTTCAAAGTGTAATTTCTTCTTGTGATGGCAAAGCTAAATTTTCAGCATCATTACTCCAGTCTTCAGTGTCACATGATCCTTCAGAAATCATTCTAATATGCTGATTTGCTGCTCAAGAATTACTGATTAATATCAGTGATGAAAACATTTGTGCTGCTTCATGTTTTGGGGGGGAAATATGAAGCAGCAGATACAGTTTTTTTTTTTTTTAAGAATACAAAGTCCAAATAAACAATTTATTTGAAATAGAAATATTTTGTAACATTATGAATGTATTTAGTGTCACCTTGGATCAATTTAAAGCATCCTTGATAAATAAAATTATTAATTTGTTTTCTAACTTGACCCAAACATTGGAATGGTAGTTTATCACATTCTCCACAAAACATATGAAGCATCACAACTGTATTTAACATTGATAATAATCAGAAAATTGTCTTGAGCAACAAATACGCATGCAAGAATAATTTCTGAAGGATCATGTGACACTGAAGACTTTTTTCAGCTTTTCATCATATAAATAAATTACATTTTACAATCTATTCACATAGAAAACAGTTATTTTAAATTGTAACAATATATATATATATATATATATATATTTTTTTTTTAATCGGCTAGAGTCGCTTAGAACTCGTGCATCTTTGGAAGCGGAGCTGCGCGGAAAGTTACAAAAAATGTCGTGCACACCGCCACGCGAAACGATGTTGCACGCACTCAAAGAGAACTTCCGCCAACACCGCGATGACGTCATATTTGCCGCGCACACCTAAGTGAACTTGCGGACGCGTCGAGTATAAATCAGCCTTGAGCGTGTGTGTGCGTTAGATACTGTGAAGACAGCGTGTTAGTTTAGAACTCTTTTTTTTTTTTTTTTTTTTAATGTAGAGTGGGTGAGAGAAAGAGATATATATATATATATATATATATATATACACACACACACACACACACACACACACACACACACACACACACACACTGGTGTGAAAAAGTTTTTGCTCCTGTTTTTTTGTTGTTGTTGCATATTTGTCACGCTTGAATGATTCAGATTATCAAACTAATTTTAAAATTCCACGAAGATAACCAGAGTAAAAAAAAATGCAGTTTTTAAATAATGATTTCATTTATTAAGGGAAAAAAAGCCATCCAAACCTGCCTAGCACTACGTGAAAAAGTAATTGCCCCCTAAATCTAATAACTGGTTGTGCCACCCTTTGCAGCAACAACTGCAATCAAACGCTTGCGATAACTGGGAATGAGTCTCACATCGCTGTGGATGAATTTTGGCCCACTCTTCTTTGCAGAATTGTTTTAATTCAGCCACATTGGAGGGTTTTTGAGCATGAATGGACGGTTTAAGGGCATGCCACAGCATCTCAATCGGATTTAATTCTGGACTTTGATTTGGCCACTCCAAAACCTTCATTTTGTTTTCTTGAGCCATTCAGAGGTGGACTTGCTGGTGTGTTTGGGATCATTGTCCTGCTGCATAACCCAAGTGCGCTTGAACTTGAGGTCACAAACTGATGGCCGGATATTATCCTTCAGCATTTTCTGATAGAGAGCAGAATTCATGGTTTCATCAATTATGGTAAGTCGTCCAGGTCCTGAAGCTGCAAAGCAGCCCCAGA